CACGCAGCACCCTCCTCTCCCTTCCACTGTAGTTTACCTCTCCACACCCCTACCCACCACAGGATCAATCACAGCTCCGGGATGATGGGGTCAAGGAAGGCTTTCTTCCCAAAGGAGCTGCAAAAAGCCAAGAATCCGGCTCCTCCAGACATCACCTCAGTGCGCACTGACCTCTTGGGTGTCAGGGCTTGTTGTGTTCATGGTGTGGGGCTCCAGGGGACTGTCTCAGGTGACACCAGGTCGTCCCTGCCCCGTCTTCTCCCCCTCAGGCCGCCTGGAGGTACTACGCTACCAACCCCAACAGGATCGATCTTGTGGCCACGTGGAGGTTCTACGAATCAGTCGTCTCTTTTCCGTTCTTCAGGCAAGTGGTGACTCATCTAAGTGCTCACAGTGTGACTGGCCGTCCCTCTCGTGGGTCTGTACTCATGCCTGTGGCCTTCACGGTGTCTTAGAGGATGTCCTTCAGGACAGCGGTCCCCGGTCCTGGGCCGCAGGCTTAAATCATTAGAGCTGAGACTGTCCCGATGCACAGACCACACCCTGGCTAATTAAATCAGAGTCCCCAGCGAGTGGCGCTCGGGCATCAGGATTTTTTCCAGCTCCCTAGGTGACCTCAGCAAGAGTTTCCAGCTTGACAGACAGTGTTGAGTTGCTGAAAGGGCAGGTCCGACCAGTGTTGGGGCGAGATCTGTGGCTGAGAAAGTGGGGAGCCAGCACAGTGCGCCGTCTGAGCAATCCTAGAGGCCCCACCCCCAGGCCGTGGCCTGCACCCAGAGGCCAGACTGGATGGTGGAAAAGGGCAGGTGGAAAAAGCCGCAGGGGGCATCCTCTGGAGGACCAGAGATGTTATTTTGTGTTCTCAGAGGTGGGAGATTGAACGAAAAGCTTCAGGGAAAAAAGTGACCACCCTTTCTCATGGCCAGCACTTGTGAGCGGCGGGAGGGAAATGAGTATTACTGGACGTCTGGTATGTTCCCAGTATCCAAGTTCACGTTTCATTTCATCCTCAAAGGCACCCTGTGAAATAAGTCAGAGGTTCTTGAGTGTTCAGATGCTTTAAAATCAGCGGAGAGGCTGGGCATGCGGATCCTGCGTCCACCTTCAGCAGGTCCAGTGGTGTCAAGAGTAGTGAAAGCATCTCGAACAGGTGTCCCCGGTGATTCTGACATGGTGGCCCACGGGGCGGCCTTGGACACAGGCCGAGCGGGCGGCATCAGCGGGCTCCCCTCACCAAGGAGCCAGCTGGGGCTCAGCAACTTTGGGCATTTTGGCCAATGTCAGCCACCTCTGGAGACCCCCACGGCCCACGGTCTTTCCACTACTTGGGCTTCTGAAACAGATTGCGCCTTTCCAGCTTTTAGACACTGCGGTCCTGAACTCAAGTGTTTAAATGTGTGGGTAGAATGCTGGGCTGAGAGGACCCTTGAGTTGGAAGGAGACGTAATGGGACACTCAAACTCATGCCTGGGGTGTGTTTGTCATGTGTCTGGGTTCACGGACCATAGCGTGACCCAGTACCGGACAGATGGCTCTCAGTCTCACCCCACCCTCCCACACCCTCGTTGTGGGACCAGCGACCATCTCTGGACCTCGGAGCTTCATTTTCTCTCCACCCCCATCACCAGACTGTGATACAGATGTAAGGGAGCTCACGACATCTGGGTCTACTGATCCATTTGCCGCAGAAAACCCTCCAGTGGCTAGTCATGACGCAGAGAATGAGATCCAAAACCTGACCAAGACTCGGAAGGCCCTGCTTACCTACGCCATCTCAGCACCTATGGTGCTGTCACCCCCAAGAGGGTCCAGTGGCACGTGGCACTTCCTGCTCAAGGCATTCGTCCCACCAATACTTTTGAGCCCCTTGTGCAGGCTAAGCATCGGGCCAGACCAGAAAAGTCACACGTGACTTGTGAAGGAATCTGACCTTGATCCTGAAAGTGAAGAGAAGCCATCTGAGGCAGAGAATGACATGATCAGAGGTGCATTTCAGGAAGATGACGGGAAGGGACGTGGAGGGCGGACTGGACAGGCTTGGGATTCTGGGCAAGATCAGCCGACAGCTGATGGCAGGGTTCAGGGTACGAGGACACGAGGGCTTAGACCAAGGCAACAGCAGTAAGAAGGGAGGGTGGAGGGAGGACTGGAAGGGGACCAACAAAGGGAAAAGTCTCAGGGAGTGATGACTTGTGGAAGAATAAAGGAGATGAGAAGAAACAAGGCTTCAGTGGTGGAACGATACAGTTGGATTTATTGACTATGTCGCCTTACTTGTAATTAGATTTCTTTACTCCTCTGTGATTCTCTTTGATTCTAAAATTCCCTTGCTGCTCAGACCATTTCAGATTTGGGATGGTACAGCCTTCCTCTGGATAGCGAGAGTCTCAGAAAGGGTAGGTGGCTTCTCCTCAGGAGAACACAGTGACCTGGAACTCAAAAACCAGAACGTGGGCAACTGTGTTCAACGCTGAATCAAGATGATTTCCATTTGCTTTGCATCCCAAGGTCTTGGCAATAGGCCCATTCTTTTGGGTTGATTTATTATAAATAAGGCCCTGTCCTAGCTGTCAGAGACACGGAGGCATGCATTGTGCTGCAGACAGCGGCTGCGATACAGGAATGGCTTTTAGACTAAGAGAAAACATTCCTTCCTTTTTTTCAAGGACAAAAGTATAAAGCCAGTAGAGAATTCACTTAGCAACTATTCTGAAACCAGGCAGTCCCTTGGGAAAAGAATGTTCCATTATTCCAGCCTGCTCCATATGTTTAATGGCCGAAAAAAGTAGCTGATAATACACTGGTGTGCCCTCACCTGCTTCCTAAAGGTTTTTTAATTTGATTTAAGGTTTTTTTTTAAAAGGACAACTTTATTGAGATACATTTCACCTACCACAAAAGAATTTCCCATACCATAAACGGTACCCTTTTAAAGTGACAATATAGTATATTCATAGTTGAGCATTGATCACCACTATCTAATTCTAGAATAGTGTCGTTAACCCCTCCCCCAAAGAAAACTCTATGCCCTTTACTTCTGCTTGCCTCTTTCCCCCAGCCCCTGCGACCACTAATTTATTTTCTCTCTCTATTCTGCCTTTTCTGGACATTTCATAGAAAAGTGAAGTCTTGTAATATGATTTCTTTCACCTACCGCAATATTGTCAAGTTTCATCTATGGTATCGTGTGCATCAGAACTTAATTCCTCTTATGGATGAATAATGTTCCATTATATGCACACCTCATTTGATTTATCTACTCATCAGTTGTTGCCCGTTTGAGTTGTTTCCACTTTTTGGCTGTTATACCCTGATAAACGCTCAGGTCCATGTTGTGTGGGTATGTGTTTTTAATTCCCTTGGGTATCTACCTTGGAGTGGAATAGATAACTCTGTGTTTAACTTTTTGAGGAACTGCCAGACTGTTCTCCATGGTGGCTGCAACATTTTACATTCCTCCAAAAGATTTTGAAGGATGAAATTGTACAGCCCTTTCTAAGAGTGATGTCTTGTCAGTTTCCAGCAGGTGTAATTCTTTGTTAATTTACAAGTGTATGTGTGTGTAGACATATATATATATGTGTGTGTATATATATATATATATATACACACACACATACATACACACATATACACTCACACATATGCACACACATATATACATATATATGTATGTGTTTTGGGCTAGGAGTGACGAGTGATGGTGGTCCCTTTTTAATTTTTCTTTTATTATTACTTAAAATTATAAATTCATTACTTTTGAATTGCAAAGGAACTCAGAGTTTCAAGTCCAACCCCAACTTTACAGAGAAGAAACTGAGGTTCCCCAAAGCTCAGGAACTTGCTCAGGGCCACACATCATGTTGGGCACAGCTGAGAGCAAACCCAGGTCTCTGACTTGCTGGCCAGCAGAGACGATGGAGCCCTAGGATTGACGAGGATTACGTGAGTGAACTCGAAAAAAGGTACTTTAAAAAGTATCTTCCTAATAATTATTGCTCAATAAATATTAGCAATGATGATGTTGACTGTGATGACGATAGCGTGGTGACAGAGTGACAAGGTGTGTGGCTGCTAAATTATGAAATTACTGCTTTCCTGACCTGCCCCAGCTGCTAAACAGATCACCTGAACCCAGCACGAGGCGTGGGGCCGAGTAGGTGCTCAGCAACCATTTTCTGGATAAATGAATGAATGAAAGGCTGAGAAGAGCGTTGGTTGGTCAGAGCCAGACCATCGCAGTAGGGACCTGTGGTCTGCCTGGGGAATCCCTCTTATTCACTGGTTTCCCTCCACATGTAGCATCTTGCTCCTTCATCTCCATCAAAGGGGACTTAGGGACAAAGTTGGGGGAGATGGGGAGATGTTTCATGTAGTTTATGCTTTTTTTCTCTCTCTCTCCCTCGTCTCATAGGAAAGAACAGCTGGAGGCCGGAGCCAGGTATGTTTGTGATTGTAAATCCTCTTCTTCCCACCACCATGTCAGGATAAAGGGTCCAGTTGTGTACGGTGTGGGGCCCCTGGGTGGTCATGCTGGTCATGAGGTAGAGTTTGGGGGCTCACTGCTGCTGCTGCTGCTGCTGGCCACCATTTTCCTCTGGCAGTTTCATGTTAATTTACTCAAGAACAACTTAATTGTGATCATAGCAGCAGCCAATTTTTGAGTGTCTCCTCTGGGCAGGATTCTGTGCCCGGAGTCCCGCATGTGTTTTGTCACTTGGTCTCACATCCATGATGAAAGATCAGTCCTGTATCTTTATTTGTGGATTGAGGAGATTGAGACTCAGAGAGGGTAAGTTACTCTCCCTGGGTCACACAGCTACTGAGTGGCGAGACCAAAATTCAAACTCAAGTCTGAATATTAAGACCATGTTGTTTCTATTACATCTTGCTTCATATGCTTCTCGGGCTCACAGATGGTTCTTCAAAGAGGGAATCAAGACTATAATTCATTATCTCCAGTAAGCCACACTCACCACAGGCCGCTGCAGAGGCAGGTTGAGCTTCCAGCTGATAAGCACGTCTCTCTCCCTCCCTTTTGGCTCCTGCTCGAGAAGATGTCACAGAGTCAGGGAAACTATGGACCCTGCTCGAGATTGTAAAGAAAGACCGTCTCTTGCAAACATTTTAACTGTGTGCAAAGCATCCCCAGGTATCCAGGGGGGATCAGTTCCAGGACCCGGGTGGGTACCAAAATCTGTGGATGCTCAAGTCCTTATATAAATTGGCGTAGTATTTGTATCTAGCCTATGTATATCCTCCTGTGTACTTTAAATCATCTCTAGATTAGTTATAACCTAATACGATGCAGGTGCTATATAAATAGTTGTAAACACAATATAAATGTTATGTAAATAGTTGCTGGTGTGTGGCAAATTCAACTTTTGCTTTTTTGGAACTTTCTGGAATTTTTTTCAAATATTTTTGATCCTTGCTTGGTTAAATCTGTGAAAGCAGAACCCGCAGATATGGAAAGCCAACTGTATTTATAAACAGAAATAATTATAAATGTAAATACACATTATATATATAATATATATTTAAACTATTATTGTTGGCTATTTGCAAGACCTCTCAGGCAATCCTCTGGACACCAGCTCAACTGTTGTCCTTCTAGAGCTGACAGAATTTGGGCAGAGGAGGTGACAAGACCCTGGACCACCTTGTATGGGAACCACTTGGGGACAGTGACCTTTGGGAGGCTGGGTCAGGTGCTCTTGAATGGACCCCATGATGCCCCATCCCAAACAGGATCCCACCTGGAAGGAACAGTTATAGCCGGGGCCAGTCAACTCAGAGGCAGAAGCACTGTTCAGACTTCCTGCCTCCTTTATGCAGGTTGAAGTGGATGGAGCGTTTCTTACCCAGACCCGGGCTGGACCGTAGGAGGTGTTTGGAGAAATTGTAGAGGAGGCCAGAGGACTGACAATGACTGTCGGGAGACATTTGACAGAGAACCTGCAGTAGCTCATGGCTCACAGAGGCAGAGCAGGAAGACACCTCAGAGATCCTCTTTTTCATACTTTTACAGAAATGAAGCCCCCCCCCCAAGAGGGCAGGCTCACCCCAGGGAACAGAACTCATGAGCACCAGCTGTGACAGGATCTCAGGACTCCCAGCGGGGTGCTCTTACCCCCCATCTCTCTTGACCAGTAGGGTTTTAAATCATGCAGGTGTTGACTCCGCACGTGAATCATTAAATCAGCCTTTACAGCCTTTTCTATATAGACGCGAACAGAATTCAGCCAAACTGGAACCTATGTGCGAAGTATCCCTGTGCCCTGGACTAGGCACTTCGGGTTTGATTAGGGCTTAAAGAAATGCACTTTGCGGCTTTGCTGGGCCTGCGTCTCCAGTTACTGAAAACGGGCTCTCTGCAGTCTGATCATCAGCTTACTCATTCCTATCTCGAGAACTCTCCACTCTGCCACGGAGGCAGAGGGAAAGTACATCCCGTGATTTCTCAGGGCTGGAGTCGCTGGGTGTTTTCTGGTTCATCCTCCTCAGGGAAGAGCTAGGTGAGTTACATAAGCCACTCAGCCTCCCTCACCCAGGCTCAGGGTGCAGCATTTTGGATTTGAACAGCAAATAGATTTGGCTGATGCACTGGAGGTGAGATGGCAGGTGTGATTGTAACTGTGAAGTCTGGACGTGGTACATGAGATCTGGAGGAAGGACGGGTGAATTGTCAGCAGAGGAATCAATTTCTTTACCCATGAAGGCAGGGAGCAAGGAGGCCAGAGAGTGGTCAGCAATGTATGCGCAAATTAGATTGATACTTACTGATGTACCATTAGCTTCTTCAGCAGATTGCCAGGTAACTTGTGTTTCAGTCTTGCTTTATAATGATTTCTAAATAGCGAGAATCAGATTTGGAGATCATCTTTTTGACGCCTTCTAGCATAGGAAGCCCGCACATCTGTTTATGTAGTCTGCAGGAGGAAAGAGTTACATTCTGTGACTTGACAGATCATGGCTCTGTGTTGGGGTAAGAAAGGGGACATTTTAGTCAGCTTATTGGAAAGCGCTTAAGTCATAGTTGCCCATAAAGCTTTTGTCTGTTCCCACTTACCCCTAAAGGGTCAACAGAGAGCTGAGCGTCTCTGTTCCCAAGGATGGGACTGTCTTGAGTGTTTTGCTTTACATAGACTTTTTGAGGAACAGAAGTCCCCCAGCTTCCTACAATGGCTGGGAAGCTGGCTTTGGTAATTGTATACTTCCTTCTCAGGATCTACGATTCTGAGAAAGCAGAGAGCCAGCTTCTGTTATGGCCTTGGTAGGAGCTAAGCACTTTACATAGAGCATCTTAATTCATTCTTATAAAAATGAAGGCACACCCCCCCATCCCTTCTCACCTAGCTCAGATGCCTTGCTCACCGTGCCCTTAAGTAGGACTCTGCACTTCCCTAATAAAGCCTTTATTTTATATACAGTCAGAACATTTAAAATTCCCCCTTCCTCTCTACACCATGAGTTTGATAAGGCTAACACTGTGCCTGAAATATAGGATGTCCTCCGTAAACATTTGCTGGATGTATAAGTAAATGACAGATTGAAAGAGATATTGGAAATTGAGTTCAAGTATTTATGTAACTTACACCTAAGCCAAGCACAGAAATAGCCAAGACGGGGATTTCAAATATAGATCTGTCTGACCGTATCAGACCGTATCAGGCCGAGTCCCAGCGCAGCACAGGTGGTTGGCAAGCCCTCTTTGTTATCTGGGAGAAAAGAGTGAGGTCAGTTAATCGAACAGGCACGTGATCTTGGCACTTGCTCTCCCTCCGCCAGGAGCTCTTATTTCACACTTCACTTTTGCTCACTTCTGAGATAGACCCTCCTGGCCTCTCTGCCCACAGCCCCTCAGTCCCTGTCCCCTTGGCCCTCCTTCAGTTTGGTAGTACTGGTGATTACCTAACATATTATGCATTTGTTTCTTGTCTGCCTTCTCCACTAGATCAAATGCTTCCAAGGGACTAGACTCAGTTTGTTTTGCTCACTGCTTTACCTCCAGCACCTAAAAGAGTGCCTGAGACAGAGCCTGGCGAATGGTTGGCTTTAAGTAGATATTAACTTACTGCAAAAGTAGTGGATGGATGGATGGATGGATGGATGGATGGATGAACGGATGGATGGACATGCTGTTTATTTTCCAAGTGTCATAAACCCAATTTAAACTACCTGGACTATGAGGGAAGTGTAATTGCTCACACAGTCACTCATCAGAAAGGATGGGAACCCCTGGATGGGAAATAAGGAATGGAATCCTTTCGAGATTTCTCTGTTCAAGTCTTGTCTCTGCTTCTCTCTGTGGTTCCACTCTCTCGACTGACTTTCTCCATACTGATGAGGTTGTGATGCGTGCAGCCCCAGGATCACATCTTTTTTCCTCTTTCTTCTGTCCACCTGTTCTTCACCCAACTCTAGTTTGGAAGATCCCAGAGAAGCACTTAGATTGTCCCAATTTGGGTCACACACTTACACCTTGGACAATCCCTGTGGCTCAGATACCAAGAAGCTACTACTAGCCAAACTCTGGGTCATGTTTCCAACTGTTAGAGTGAGTGGGTGTGGGTTCAAGATACTATGTTTGGCAGCCCTCCTTTGAGTCACCTGATTGAAATTGAGGAGGTCAGTTCTCCAACAGAATAGGGTTCTTTGTCCCAAAGAATAGGGGATGACACATAAAGCAGACAAAAGTGATGGATGTCCATGACAAGCATGGAGTCTACCCATACGTTGTCAAATTCCTAACAATAATATTGCATCAAAGAACATCGACAGTAGAACATACTGAGCCTCATTGATTGTGTGGATTGTACCAGGGAAGACTTCGGTGTTTTGTGTTGGGGGTGGCATTTTGCACATAAATTGTAACTATTCGGTAGATGCACAGCAGTGCTGATAATTAGGGGTGTTTGATAGAAACCAACACTTTTTAAATTTGCAAAACGGGTAACTGTGTTGACAGTAACTACTTGCCTGGGTCCAACTGCTCACTTAGTGTTTTTAAACACTGCAATATGAACAGCGGCCTTCGGGACTCTTCTCTGTATCGGTCTTTAGATAGGGAAGAAATTTGTCCCAGGGAGCTTCTTTTTTTTTTAATGTTTTTATTTTTAATTGATCAACTTCATTTGTTTTATTGAAGAATAGCTGATTTACAATGTTGTGTTAATTTCTGGTGTATAACAGTGATTCATTTGTGTGTGTGTATATAAAACGTGTGTGTGTGTATATATATATATGTATGTCTTCTTTTCCTTTTCGTGTTCTTTTTCATTATAGGCCATCAGTATGAATTGAATACAGTTCGCTGGGCTATAGAGTAGGACTTCATTGTATGTCTGTTTTATATATAGTAGTTAGTATCT